GGCTGTAATTAATGGTTTCGGTATTCGCGCTGAAGACCATGAAATCGCTATCAGCTGCGCAGCGATTTAATTAAATGTTTAATAAAGCGCATTCCGTGTCCCCGACCGCCGAACATAGGGTGAGAGAAGAAGGAATAATTGGTCGTGTGTGAAATAAAATCCAGTCAGAGAGGGATTCGGTCACAGACAAAGCCATGCGGCACGAAACAATACCTTTGGCGTGATGCGTCATGATGTACGCTTACGAGACTGCATCCAGTGCCGCCTCAAAGCTCGCGCGTTTCCCGCTGTTCGATACTTTGCCGCGCCATCAACAATCAGGTCTCAGATACACCGGGATTTTAATGCAAACCACAAATAGCCTGCCGTCGACCACCCTCCGCTCAATCAGCAATCGACCAGCGCATTCCATTTCAGTCACACAGCGCGAAGGAAGCGCGTTCCCGCGCCCCACGAACCGTGCCATTGTGCGTGACAGGGGTTATTTGGTGGGGAGGGGAGGTGGTAACTGCACCTGCCCGTGGCCAGAGTTGTCCGCTCGGCTCAGCGTAAACTCAACCACCCATCCATGCAGGGCACTCGGGCGTGAGCGTCGGCCTCCGTTCCCGCGGTGTCTCGTTCCCCCTGCTGGTTTTGCCGCGTCCTGCATCGTTGGCGTACGGGGCGGACGGTGGCCGACTGCCTGACCGGACTTCTCAAGCCGGTGTCATTTGTCAGCGAGTGGGCCCAGATCCTAATCGGGCAGAACCCTCGCTGCGAAAGACGTGTGTGGCGTCCGATGACCGGCCACCGACACGCACCCGGGCTCGTCCCCGCAACCGACATGGGCGTGCATCCACCACTGGGGTTTGTGAGGCTTGGGCCCCGGTACATCCCGGGAACAGCTGGTTATATTTGTGTTTGAACAGTGTGAAACGGCACTAAAGCAGACAAAAAATCACTGACCTTCCATGATCCCTCCCCTCCCCCACGCCCGCCCCGATAACGCGTTTTCTTCACTGTCGTGACACGCTTTTGCTGCCGGTGCAGGAGTGGAGATCTCGGTCTGACGACACGGCCGCACTACCAGTGGCTGACAGTGACACAAAAACCGTATCCGGAGCATTTCGACACAATCGCTGATTTCTATGCAAACGACGCCGGCCCCTGGGACCCCTAGCGCGTCGCCAGTTGCTGTGATCGACCTGACTGCGTTCGTTTCCATAATTTAGATTTCATCGGGCTGTGCGCACGTAGTCCGGTAGCCGCAGTTCCATTATCGGGCAGTTCTAGCGCGCCCTGACGCTGGCTTTGATCGCACCGCCCGACCCTTTGATCGTGCCGCGTGGCGGTGGCGGCGCGCGCGCACGACGGCCACGTGCCGGCGCGGGGAAACCATGGAAACGCGCGCGATTATCGCCTCCGCGGCCGGTCACGTGGCGTGCACGTGCCGCGCCACGTGTGCCGCCTGTGGGTATTGTGCCGTGTTTTCCATAATTTTGGCAGGCAGTGTGCCGCGGTCGCGTTTTACTGGGGGACGGCATTTTTGGAAGAGGGGTGGACGATTGAGTGACAGGAGGGGAAGGCGCAGATGGGCCACAAATGACCAGCACATGTTCGCCCATGTTCCGACTTCCCACCAACAGGGACAGAACACAGCGAAACAGCCATGGACCTAGATTCAGCCAAAGTATCGAGCTTGCATTGACGTGCTGTGTCGGGAGAACATCACGCAGAGGTGCATAGCCGCAACATGCACTGAAACACCCTCTGGTTAGATGGAGGTACCCACAACCAGCAAACGTTGTGCTGAAACACCAGACATTCAGGAATATATGTTGCATGCCGCTCGTGCTCCTGGTTTTTAGAGAGTGTGTCTGCTTATGTACTGACCCGATCTGATTTTTTTCAGCAACTGTCAATGAATTGTTTTGATTGCTTCAGACCGAAGACCAGCTCACCAGTACGCAACGAATCAAAGGTGAATCTTGCACAGCTGCAGACAGGTTGCCGTAGAAATGTTTCATGTCATTTGTGATCGGTTCGTACTTTTGGACAACTGTAGCTGCTGTCTTGTCTGACGTTATCACACCGCACCACATGGGCTAAGATATAGCTGCAAGCGTCCTCTCAAATTTCAGTGAGCCGGGCTTCGTTGAATGTTTGCAGTGCAACCGTTTTCTCTGCCCTGTTTTGAATGCTGCCTCTTGTCACGTTTTCCGCGCTGTTACCACATCCTTAACTCAGGAGCTGCTGTCTTGTCTGACGTTATCACACCGCACCACATGGGCTAAGATATAGCTGCAAGCGTCCTCTCAAATTTCAGTGAGCCGGGCTTCGTTGAATGTTTGCAGTGCAACCGTTTTCTCTGCCCTGTTTTGAATGCTGCCTCTTGTCACGTTTTCCGCGCTGTTACCACATCCTTAACTCAGGCAATGTCGGTGTCTGGAGCTCGAACAAAGCGCCCACTTTATTGATGAGATAATGTATAGCCCACTGCATGGGCTAAATAACTATCACTAAAGCCGTACAAACGTGTTATTTCCATTTTATGCACCAACCTGCTAAGCATCTCCTTATTGTGTTGCTTACAGAAGCGCATCGCGAAGGCCATATAGGCTTACTGGAGTGTTGCACTCTGAATTACTACGCTTTACTTGAGCGCTTTGTCTACTCCATGTTCGCCACAACCCAATCCTAACTAATGCACACATCAATCCGTCGACCTGAAATCGTGGTGACCGCACGACGTTACACCTGGCAGCCTGGTGATCGCGCCGTGGTGTTACATCTAGCAACCTGATGCCGCACGCGGCGTTACACCTGGCGGCCTGGTGACCGCACCGTGACGTTACACCTGGCAGCCTGGTGACCGCACCGCGGTGTTACATCTAGCAACCTGATGCCGCACCGTGACGTTACACCTGGCAGCCTGGTGACCGCACCGTGGCGTTACATCTAGCAACCTGATGCCGCACCGCGGCGTTACACCTGGCAGCCTGGTGACCGCATCGTGGCGTTACACCTGGCAGCCTGGTGACCGCACCGTGGTGTTACACCTGGCAGCCTGGTGACCGCACCGTGTTGTTACACCTGGCAGCCTGGTGACCGCACCGTGGCGTTACACCTGGCAGCCTGGTGCCGCACCGTGGTGTTACACCTGGCAGCCTGGTGACCGCACCGTGGTGTTACACCTGGCAGCCTGGTGACCGCACCGTGGTGTTACACCTGGCAGCCTGGTGACCGCACCGGTGTTACACCTGGCACCTGATGCCGCACCGCGGCGTTACACCTGGCAGCCTGGTGATCGCACCGCGGCGTTACACCTGGCAGCCTGGTGACCGCACCGTGGTGTTACAGTCGGCTCCGGTGACCTCTGAGGCACGGTCGCCACTATCCGTGCCGCAGCAGACGGCGGTGGGGCTCGAAAAGCCAGGGCTCGGTCCGGCCCGGAAGCCACGCTCGAATTACGCCAGCTTGGACGAGGTGCTCAAGTCGGAGAAGGCGATGGAGGCGCTGCGACAGTATATGGTCACCATACGGCAGGACCACCTGCTCGACTTCCTCGCCGACGTGGAGCTGTACAGGTGTGTCACCAGTCTGGTCGGCTTTGGTGATGCCCCAACGCGTACTTCGGGTCGGTCGGTGCAAGGAGCCCACCTATTTGAAGTTCTAGCTGTGATTGAGTTGCTACGGATGTATGTGGCTGTGTCTGAGTCGTTGCAGATGTATGTGGCTGTGCTTGAGTCGCTGCAGATGTATGTGGCTGTGCTTGAGTCGCTGCAGATGTGTGCGACTGTGCTTGAGTCGCTGCAGATGTGTGTGGTTGTGCTTGAGTCGCTGTAGATGTACACTATCTCTCCAGTTTGTAGCCAGATTGCTTGGTCGGTAAGTTATCATCCATTACGCATCAGCTGCGGCTGTTATCCTATGACGCCTCGTCAGTGGTGCTTATTCGACCACTTGCTTATGCCAAGGTCTGAGGCGTAACAATCCCTGCCGCTGGTTAGAACGCGGAGGTCAGCAGAATTCGGACAGCTCGAGCGCGCAGCCCGGAGCCTCGCAACTGCAACAGACTAAAAACGAGAATTTTGAAGGCGCTGTTAATGTCAACCACATTCCTGGCTGGACCCCTGCATGCAGCATCCAGCCGTTCTGCCACCCTCTCCCCCGCCCCCAGCACTGCCACGTGATCTGACCCCGCCCGACCCGCCGCCGACAGGCGCCAAAGGGACGAGGCCGACCGGCTGAAGCTGTCCCAGCAGATCTTCACGACGTATCTGAAAGTACTGGCAGAGCGTGAGGTCGTGCTGGACAAGCCGCTGCGGGACAGCATCAGCGCCCGCCTGCAGGAGGCCCCCGCCACGCTCTTCGACAGGGCTGAACGTGCCGTCACGGATGACATCAGACGTGACGTCTTCCCCCACTTCTTGAAGACGCCGCTGTTCGAGCGGCTGGCCGGCCTCGCCTGAGGCTCGTGTGGCCCAGGGTCACTGACCTCAGGCGTGACCTGGGGTCAGGTGTGACTTGTGTCAGGAGTGACATACCGCCCCGCGGTGGCCTAATCTGGGTCCTGGAATACGCCACCAGCTAGACGACCGTCCAGATGATGGTCTGTGTGATTTACAGTTGCTCTTTCGGCCTTGCTTCAGATTGGGTCGTCCGTTGAGAGCATGTGCACGCTACACCCATGGGTGCCTTGCTGCAGTGTTTACCCGACCCATAACGGGCATGCACACTGTGATCTGTGAATGCCATGAGATCGAAGGCCGACTCTTATCGCTTAGGGATGCCTCGTCACACTTACGATCGGTCTAGCTTTGAAGTCGCACCTAGGATCGGTTTAGCATTGAAGCTGCACCTAAGATCCGTCTGGCTTTGGCTTGCGACTGCGAGCAACAGGGTGGCGATTGTGCTCTTGTCTGGACTTCGGTGACGACATTGAAGACTAGTGGAACTGAGGCATATAATCGACTTTTTCCGCCAGAAGGAGTATGGCCGCTTTTTGTTTCTGGCTTTTGTACAATTTCTTCCATGTGATGTGCCATGTCATACTTAATTTGACTCGTGCAGAGACTGTAATTGGCAGGCTCCGCTGAACGTTGCCGCCAAAATGGGACCAGGCTTGCACATAATATGCGACTAACGAACGCTCCATGTCCGGCGTGTGCGTGCGTAAAGCCAATATTGGCGAGCGTAATGGATGCTGTATTGGTGGTTGTTAGACACGCATTGCAAGTTACGCCGTGAACATCTGCATTATTGTGTGAAGATGCTCAAATCCTTCGCGAGGTAGTTGTGTCGTCTTATCGTCTTATGCGCTGATTCCCGTTCTGTTTTTCCTTGGTCATATCGCTATTGCGTGAATGTCTACAAAGATTATATATATATATATATATATATATATATATATATTATATATATATATATATTGTAGGACGTCATTTTTGTCACACTCAGAAATTCACGTGTAATCCAATGATATTACACCAGTGTCTACCATGTAGCTATAGTAGAACATTTTGATCTTTGCGTCTACAGCTTGTTTCAAGTTGGCTGCATTTGCCGCTGAAAACATGTGTTTAGTCCGAGTACGGCAATGAAGTGAGCTGTAACTCTGGAACACGAGAAATCTGTCATCTATGATTACTGATTTCTGATTTGAAATACAAGCACCTGTGTGCGATCCTTCAATTCGTCTCAAATATTCATGACAAAGCAAAAATCAATATTCTTTTGTGCAATGCAGACACAAAGAAGCGATGAACGTACCTCAAGCAACTTTGTCCTCACACCTGATTCTGAAACTCCGGAATGCGATGTTTCGCGGTCAACGTATCTTCAATGGGCGGACACAAACCAGGGTGTTGGCACGCCAAGGTGGCACACGTGGCACATGTTGGCTGTCTCGCGGATCGCCACGTGCCACGGGCCGCGAGCGGTGGTCGGCAGCTGCCGTTAAATCAGGTGGTCGTGTGCGGGAGAACGTCCTCCCAAAAGCACACGGGCGATAGGCGATCAGAATAGCGGCGCTCAGCTGTCCTGTCGAAAACAATGGCATTCCTGTTCGATTTCTAACATGCCAGGCTTTGTGTGGAATGTTGGTCGGTTTGATGCGTTCAAGGGCGTACGTAGCAGCACATCAAGGGGGCAGGCAGGTTCGATCAAAACGGGACGTGACCGACCTGGCATACTGGACACAAATCCAACCATGGATGGCAATCTACACACATTGATTAGTTACTCCACAATCCACAAAATGACACGCAAGCCATGATGTGAGTGAGCAGCAGGAGTCACTCTGGGTATAACGGGAGTGTGCCGCCGAATGGAAACAGAACGATGCTGTCTTAACAGTTTTGAGTTATTCCGTTCTAAACGGCGCGTTGTCCAGGCATTAACCCCACTGTTCTCACAGGTTCCGCCGATTGCGTCAGGGTTTAACCTTTTCGGAAAAGACATGGGATACACTGTTCAGAAGTGAGAGCGGTGAGAAGTATCTGGCGATGTCTCGGACCGTGATCGTGACGGAGTCAGAATCAAAGCATTGATTTGAAATTATGATTCCTGCAAAGGTTTAAGTAACAGGGTGGCATAAAGAGAAGGAAGTTTTACTTGAAGTTATCATTTTTACACAATTACGAAGAAACCACGATAAAATGACCATCAAAAATGAAATACCATGTGCCTCGCAACAGCGCTGAAACAAGTAACCAGCCTATAGGAAGGTCAATCGTGTTTGCTTTCACAATTCAGCAAATGGGGTAAGCCTTCAGCTGCCACTTTGGTTGGATCGCACAAGTTGAGAGTGTAAGGTTAGAGATGAGGTAACAACGACACATGCAGACAAACAGGAACATATTCTAACATAAGACATATCATCGGCACAAAAAGTTTCCTAGTGTGCTTAAGCTTATACACCACGAATACAACTGTCAGAAATCCCCACAATCTCTGGATCAACCTAGAGGAGCCAAATATAATGAAGGCAGTTACTGCCACCGAATACTAAATTTGCATGACATTAACCGCATGCAAGCCAACCCTAAATTCATTCATGGAGTTCCCGCAGCAAATGCAACTACAAACACGCGAATTAAAAACATTCTTACATGTCCTTTTTGGTGAACATATAGACAGCAGTGCGACACATTGAATCTCGCGCTGATTAACCGCTTCTATTAAAGCTGACCGATGGGGGTTAGGGTTAATGTGACACCTCATCTGCCATCTCCAGGCTAAGAAAGGTAGAGATGAAGGAGAGAAAAAAGTTTGTTATGAGCGGGATGTCGTGATTGCATATTGCGAACTCTAAAAAAAGAGTGTTGGGTGTTGAGTTTTCATCACATTATTGTGCATTATATGTGTTTTCAGCGTATATTTATTAATAAAACTACATGTATGCGAGAGCGTGGGTCCATCGCACGGTCTGCGGATTCATCGGTTGCCGCCCGCCGCTCGCGTCGACCGTGGATCGCGGTACAGTGTTCGTAAAAACCGTCGCTGCTTGGGAACCAGAATATTTGGAACACGCTCTTGGTCTCAAACACGTGCAATGAAGGCCCGTGAGGTTACTAAAAAATTGGGAGGGTTTGCATGCCATGCCGAGGAGGTGTCCTCAGAAAACCGTGGGGAGTGTGGGGGCAGTGATCGATGTGCCTCCTCTTCCACCAGGGCGAGGGTTCAGAATAAAATGAGCGCCGCGTGTCGATAACTACTTCCTATTTTATGATGGTAATCACATGATAGAGCAATGGACGAAAGTAACAACTCCAACAGCCGCAAAAAGCTGCTCCACATGTCAAACTTCAGTACATGATAGTTTATCTAACATGTGACTAATTGGTACAGCACGACGTAATGCTAGCATTGTGCGCACCTGATCTGGCTTCCGCTTGTCCTTAATATGTTGCGTGGTTGTGTACATCGCGGGCGCTTCGGTCTTGAAACATGAACCAACTCAAGGTAAGTTAAGGTCGACCTAACCCACGAAGCAATTACGTCACGAACCCTGATTGGCTCAAATGGCATGGATAAGCATAGGCGTAAGAGCGTTTCAAAAAGTGTATGTGTGGCAGGGTGCAGTATCCTAAGGCTTTTTTAGGGAACTGTTCATAGGAGGCAATCCCGGCGACCGGGGGCGAAGGCATACAGATGGAGAACTTCATCCACTCTTGATTCGCATGGCAGATAGGAACATTACATTAATGTGCTGGTTGCTATGCTGGATAAATGAAGATGTAGGTGTTACCTGCAGGCTCTTTTTGCTGGTGCATAATCTTACCTAGTAGAATAACTGATGCCATTTGACAAATAAGACTACTCAGCCTCCTGAAACTATTCGACTGCAATAATGCGGAATATATGCAAGTTCCTTCGTCCCGTCTCAGCCTTTTCCCTGCGTGTGTGGGTGTGTGTGGGGGGGGGGGGGGGGAGAAGGCGCGTTAGTGGGTAGGCATTATGGGTCATTGACGGGGCATCTGTCTCCCCAGTTTACATCCCAAAATACGGGCTTGGCACAGGCTGATCCGAATTTCGAATTTGAATCCATGGCCAATAGTGTACTTAAGTTGTCATATGTCTGGACTTCGCAAACTGCTTTTCAAGGAACGAGCTTTTGTCGCAGCATTTTAGGCACAAGCAAATTTGGAAACTTTAAATATCGCATGCCAAAAACAAAGTGACCGAATCCATAACACTGGGGTCTCTTTTCTAAAAACATAAGTTTGAGGCTGAAGATCTTTCTGTCGGATATTCCTTGTGTGAGCCCTACCCCCGCCTGCCGACGGCGACCGCTGCTCCGGACCGTCTGTCCCGTGTGAGCCCTGTTACGCCCGCCGTCAACGGCCACTGCCCTGAGCTGTCTGTCCCGTGTGAGCCCTGTTCCCGCCCGCCGTCAGCAGTCACTGCCCTGAGCCGTCTGTCCCGTGTGAGCCCTGTTACCGCCCGCCGTCAGCGGCCACTGGTCCGGACCGTCTGTCCCGTGTGAGCCCTGTTCCCGCCCGCCGTCAGCGGTCACTGCCTTGAGCCGTCTGTCCCGTGTGAGCCCTGCTCCCGCCCCCCGTCGGCGGCCACTGCCTTGGACGGTCTGTCACGCGCAATACTGACTGCCAACTGATCACGGGTGACTGCTTTGCTGCATGCTGAGGATCAGCATCACTACTTAGCGGTGTGTCAAGCAGATATGACACGTGCTGCAGTACTTGGTTCCTAACTATGCTTCCTTAAATTACGCCATAGCAGCAAATAACTTTTCGCATTGTAGGCTTTTTGATGCAGCTTATGTCAATTAACTATATGTTAACTATTTTCTATTATTGTAGCATTCATTTTTTTAAATCGTTACCTGGAATACATGCTAGGGTGCGGCACCTTCTGTATTCATCATTATTACACCACGTGCCGGATGAAGGTATGTATTTTTGGGCACTCCATAAAGTGCCCGATGTAAATGTTAAGCTGCGAATAGAACAGTCTACATTCCCACTTCATGTTAAATGCTCTGCAAACGATCAAGACTGTTTATTCATATTTCGTTTCCTAGAACAGCACCAATTGCACTCACTCCTCAGGCGTCGATCGTGTGGCTGTCAATCATTGCAAGCTTGGGATTTAGTGGAAAACATTGAGGCATGCATAACTCATATATCTGTATTGATGCCGGCTCCCGCAGACGCGT